TAAGGTGACCGTAACGGTAGTGCCACAGCCAAGTAGCATCTTCAATTCTTGAAAAGAGGCACGTCTGCATATAATCTCCAAGATGTAGTGGGAATAGTCGATTGGCCGTCATATTTACTTGTGTAATCAGACCCTTCTTTGGATGACGAATTTGACAGCACCCTCCTTGAATAGTAATTGCGAACTCCCTTTCCTGCAGCTGCCCCATGCTTATCAAATTGCTCGTTAGCTCTGGAACATAAAATACATCACATATTTTGATGATGTGATCAGCAATTTTCAACTTGATATCTCCCTTTCCCTTAACTGATAGTCTAGAGTTATCTCCCAGCTTCACAGATTCATTAAATGACTCATCCAAATCAGACAATAAAGACTTGTTACCGCACATATGGTTGCTGCAACCAGAATCCAGGTACCACAAGTTCACCTTTGTCTCCTTATCATGATAGGCCATCAGCAACATTTCTTCTTCTTTTTCTACTTTCTCTTCTTTCTCAGCAAAGTGAGACTTGGCACCTTTGTCATAGCGCAGATTGGCAGTGCATTCAGATTGAAAATGACCATACTCGTGGCAGCGGTAGCACTCAATGTTGGATTTGTCGAATTCTCCTCTACCTTTGCCATTGCCATCTCGGTTGCTTCTGCCTCCTCTTCCTCTCCATGCACCTCGACCATGACCTCTGCCTCCTTCATGTGTCACCTTTAAGGCCTGCTCTTCACTATTATACCTCTTGAACTTCTGTTCATGAACTATTAATGAGCTCTGTAGCTCATCAACAGTGAGAGAATCGATATCCTTTGACTCCTCTATGGAGCAAACGATATAATTGAATTTCTCTGTGAGAGTGCACAAAATTTTCTCCATAATCTTCACGTCCTGCATATTCTCTCCATAGTTCCACATATCATTGGCCACCAGCATCACTCTTGAGAAGTAATCTGTAATTGACTCGCCAACCTTCATCTCCAAGACCTCAAACTCTCTGCGAAGTGCTTGGAGTTGAGCATGTTGAACTCTTACATTCCCTTGATACTTCCTTTCATTGAGTCCCACAGTTGCTTGGATGTATCCTTCTGGAGAATGGTCTTCAAGATTGATTTGTCGATTGACTGAAAGAGGTAATTCTTTACCTTTAAGTCTTTCAGTTTTAGTTCCTCCAATGTTTTCGTTTGTGCCGCAGTCATCGTCTCTTCAGTAGCAGGCTCAGTGTATCCAGTTTCAATGAGACCCCAGTATTCTTTCGACCTCAGAAGGTTCTCCATTAGCATGCTGCAATGGTCGTAGTAACCATCGAATTTAGGAATGCTGGGCTGCGTGAAACTGCTTCCTTCAGTTGCCATCTCACAATCACTCTTTCTCACTTGTTAGGATACTGAGGTTCCTAACCTCTCACAATCAGGACCCTTTAACCGGCTCTGATACCAAATGTTAAACTGATTTGAATACAAAGCAAAAACTCAAGTTGGAACTCAGTAATTTTATTCATTGACGGAAGGGAATATAAATAGCAGTACAGAACAAACTACTCAGAAAAATCTGGAATCTTAATTAAACAAACTCATCTACTGTTGAGATACTCCTAGAGACCAGGTAACTCCTATTGACTAGGACTTATTAACAACAAATAGTAAATAATAGAAATACTAATTAACAGTTACGACCATCAAGGTCTTAGCCCTCGATCGCATATCTCATTGATTCTTCATCCTGGAAGGTCAAAAAATCGAAAACCTCTTGATCTCCCAAATCTGATCCAGAAAATAATCTACTTACCGCGTCGATGTCGGATCTGTTGGGTAGCCAACGAAGATGGGGGGATAGGGCGATCGACATTTGGAGGTAGTAAAAGGTCTGTATGCCACGATGGTGGATCCGATTTTAGAGAAAGAAGAGAGAAATGAGAGTAAAAAGTAATTACGGTTTGGGATGAAATTTGGTGGGGTGGATGGAGGTAGGGTTGGATTATAAATTAATTTAATTTTATAATATTATTATTAGTATTGAATTATCATCTGATTTTTGTATAAACAAACTTTAAATCTGATTTTTGAAATAGTAATTTAAAAAATCTGGTTCTATTTAATTTCCACTTAAATATAGTTATGGTACATTTAATTGCCAATATTTTTCATGAAAAATGTATTTTTGGCCTAACTTTCTATTTTTGTGTTGTTTGATTGACAAATTTTTTTCTACGGAAAATATTTTCCTACTTTTAATCACGTAAACATATTTTCCTTGAAAATAAAGAAAATATTTTATTTATAGGTGGTTTTTATTTTTCAAATAATTCACTTTTTCTTTCTCTCTCTCATGTATCCCCCTTTTGTCATCCACTCACCAATAAAAAATTGACAAGTATAATACTTTTGTTGGGAAATTTGGGCTTTCCCCAGCCAAAATTAATCCAGAATTACAAAGAAAAAAATACACCAACAATTGCAGATCTAGAAGCACAGAAGAAACGATGCACAGATTTAAACAGGAAGAAAGTCCTCTTCCTCAAGCTTTTATTAACCAAGATTCAACATGATTTCCTTAACCAGAAATC